GCTTCTCAAGTTGTCATTCTAACACATATTAAACTAAATGTTTCCTATTATGTGAAGGTATTCCCTCTAGTTTCCTCACCCCTCCACACAACACTCCACCAAAGGGCAGAAATTTAACTCTCTATTTTGAACAGAAAGCTTGTCAGTTTTGGTTTATGTAGTTTTGTAGTTTTGTGTTGACCTATGATGTTGGTTAAAATCCATTATAATAGTTCCTGCTATATCCCGTGAAGATCTAGCACTGTGGGATAAGATGTTAGTTTGAGGCATTAGGGGATTTTGGTGCTAAATTTTGTTTAGTTTTACTGCACAACAAAGGGCATGCATCAGCCTCATATTCTATGGGTGTGCAAAATTAGAGTGACATACACAGAAGGGCCAAAAATAGGGTGCAGCTGGAACAGAGGGTGTAGTTGGCTGAATAGAAAGTGTTGAAGAGGCAAGTTGTGAGCTGGTGCATGCAGCCCCAAACTAGAAGCTAAACTGAACCCCACAATAAGTAGATATAACTCCCATCAACTTCCATGGGACTTGCACTCACTCCCATTCTGCTTGAACTCAGGAGAGATGGACATAGGGAAGGAATAAGTTTAATTACATCCCTGAATGAAGAATTCCATTGGGTAACATAACTCTTGTAAAAAACACAAACATACATAAATCCCTCCAACTTTTCCTTCTGCAGGACAGAAAGAATTGTAAAGGGCTTTCCTTTGGCTGAGCAAATCCACTTTTCCTGATGCAACTTGCTTTCTAACCCATCAGCATCAATGTTACCCTAACTTTGTAAGCCTCTTCTCTTCTTACAACTCCCTCCTTTTTCTCCCCCATCACAGATGCAGAGGTTTCTTGTCTGCTGTCCTTCTCTAACCCCTCCACTTGTCTCCGTGACCCAATACTATCTTTTGATCTCCCTTGTGGCCACTCATATTTTCCCTTGCTCTCCTTCTCAAACTCTGTCTTATTTGAATTTTTCTCCTCACAATACAAGTATGTTTTTGTCACTCCCACCCTTACTTCTCCCATCTCCCTTCCCCCTTTCATCTTTCAGCTCACTCAATCGCTGTCTACAATTGCTGTCTGGAGTTTCTTTCCTCTAACTTCATTTCAGAGCATCTCCAATCTGGCTTCTGCTCCTTGCCACTTCACTAAAACCCTTCTCATCAAAGTCTTAATGACTTCTTCATGGCAAAAAGCTCAGAACCAGTACTCCATCTTCATCTGTCAGCCAACTTTGATCATGTTCTTCTTTTCTGAAATCTTGTTCTCCCTTGGTGTCTGTGATTCGATTCTCTTCTGATTTGCCTCTTACCTTAATCATACCTTCAAAGTGTCCATCAGAGGATTCTCCTCTTCTTTCCCCCCTCCAATTTTCTGTGTGGGTTCCACAGGGTTCTGTCCTTAGTTCCCATCTTTGGGTAATCTCACAGTACTACCCATTCAGAATGCTGCCGCAAAGATCATGCTCCAACTCTGTTGTTTGACTATCTTGCTCCTCTCTTGCATCCCTCCACTGGCTCTCCCTTCTCGATCACATCAAATATAAGTTGCTTGTCTTCACTTTCAGGCCCTTTCATGGCCTATTCATCAACTTATCATTTCTCATTGACTATTGAGATGTTGAGTTCCAATCTGCCAAGGTGGTCAGGCTCCACACTGCTCCTCCTGTTTGGCAGGAGCTCCCCATAAGCATCCACAAAGCTACCTCATTCTCCTCCTTCAAAACCCTCCTTTTCCCTGACATCTACAGCAAGCTTGACTATGGTTAGGGTGCTGGTGTACTGAGACCATTGCCTATCATGCTCTCTCGTTGTACCCCTCCCATCTGTCTGTCTGTAGCCATCTACTTTCTCTTATTTTATATAAAGATTGCAAGATCTTTGGGTCAGGGATTGTCTTTTTGATACTGTGTGTGTACAGCACTTAGCTCAATGGAGTCCTCATCCACAACTAGGACTCCTCAGCATTAGGCTAATACAAATAAAAACTAACAATAAAATAAATAATAATGATGATACTTTGTTACTTACACTAGTTTCCTTCCTTATTTACAGCTGAGAACTACAATAACTCAAACTACCACTGGATTTTGCCCACTTTCAAAGTAAAATGTAAGACCCATCATTTTGCAAAAACTCCCCCCCATCCTCAGACCTCTCGTGCTTTCAAATTACAGCCTTAAAGACGGGCTTGGCCTTAAGATGCTAAAGGAAGAAACAAAAAGCATAAGAAAAACTACAAATACATTCTCATATAGTCATAAGAGGAAATGATGGAAAATAGAATCTTTCTATTTGGACATTTAAATTGGCCACATCTTCATAGAATATAGAATCATAGAATATCAGGGCTGGAAGGGACCTCAGGAGGTCATCTAGTCCAACCCCCTGCTCAAAGCAGGACCAATTCCCAACTAAATCATCCCAGCCAGGGCTTTGTCAAGCATGACCTTAAAAACCTCCAAGGAAGGAGATTCCACCATCTCCCTAGGCAACCATTTCCAATGCTTCACCACACCCCTAGTGAAAAAGTTTTTCCCAATATCCAACCTAAACCTCCTCCACTGCAACTTGAGACCATTACTCCTTGTTCTGTCATCTGGTACCACTGAGAACAGTCTAGATCCATCCTCTTTGGAACCCCCTTTAAGGTAGCTGAAAGCAGCTATCAAATCCCCCTCGTTCTTCTCTTCTGCAGACTAAACAATCCCAGTTCCCTCAGCCTCTCCTCCTAAGTCATGTGCTCCAGCCCCCTAATCATTTTTGTTGCCCTCTGCTGCACTCTTTCCAATTTCTCCACATCCTTCTTGTAGTGTGGGGCCCAAAACTGGACACAGTACTCTAGATGAGGCCTCACCAAGGGGAATGATCACGTCCCTCGATCTGCTGGCAATGCCCCTACTTATACAGCCAAAAATGCTGTTAGCCTTCTTGGCAACAAGGGCACACTGTTGACTCATATCTAGCTTCTCATCCACTGTAACCCCTAGGTCTTTTTCAGCAGAACTGCTTCCTAGCCATTCGGTCCCTAGTCTGTAATGGGATTCTTCCATCCTAAGTGCAGGACTCTGCACTTGTCCTTGTTGAACCTCATCAGGTTTCTTTTGGCCCAATCCTCTAATTTGTCTAGGTCCCTCTGTATCCTATCCCTACCCTCTAGCATATCTACCACTCCTCCCAGTTTAGTGTCATCTGCAAACTTGCTGAGAGTGCAGTCCACGCCATCCTCCAGATCATTAATGAAGATATTGAACAAAACCAGCCCCGGACCGACACTTGGGGCACTCCGCTTGAAACCGACTGCCAACTAGACATGGAGCCTTTGATCACTACCCGTTGAGCCCGACGATCTAGCCAGCTTTCTGTCCACCTTATAGTCCATTCATCCAGCCCATCCTTCTTTAACTTGCCGGCAAGAATACTGTGGGAGACCGTATCAAAAGCTTTGCTAAAGTCAAGGAATAACACATCCACTGCTTTCCCCTCATCCACATACCCAGTTATCTCCTCGTAGAAGGCAATTAGGTTAGTCAGGCATGACTTGCCCTTGGTGAATCCATGCTGACTGTTCCTGATCACTTTCCTCTCCTCCAAGTGCTTCAGAATTGATTCCTTGAGGACCTGCTCCATGATTTTTCCAGGGACTGAGGTTAGACTGACTGGCCTGTAGTTCCCTGGATCCTCCTTCTTCCCTTTTTTAAAGATGGGCACTACATTAGCCTTTTTCCAGTCATCCGGGACCTTCCCCGATTGCCATGAGTTTTCAAAGATAATGGCCAATGGCTCTGCAATCACATCCACCAACTCCTTTAGCACCCTTGGATGCAGTGCATCCAGCCCCATGGACTTGTGCATGTCCAGTTTTTCTGAATAGTCCCGAACCACTTCTTTCTCCACAGAGGGCTGGTCACTTACTCCCCATACTGTGTTGCCCAGTGCAGCAGTCTGGGAGCTGACCTTGTTTGTGAAGACAGAGGCAAAAAAAGCATTGAGTACGTTAGCTTTTTCCACATCCTCTGTCACTAGGTTGCCTCCCTCATTCAGTAAGGGGCCCACACTTTCCTTGACTTTCTTCTTGTTGCTAACATACCTGAAGAAACCCTT